GCGGTGTGCTGGAGGGAGTGGCGGGTGTTGTCTTTTGGCGTACGGGCAGGGCTGTAGCTGCTCCTCGGGACTGTGTTCCCGCAGAAGCTGAAGGAGCAACTGGTTTCATCCTCGCACTCATTTCATCCTGCCTTAAATTTTTCCCATAAAAATAAACAATGTTTTTAGAACAGCATGATCTTGGGTTTCGCGTTACACAGCTGCTCTGGACTACTGTGTCACCTTGCTACAGCTCTCACAGGAAGGCAGGGATTGGTGCTGACCAATTCTTAAAACAGGGTGCTTCAAGAAGCATTCAGAAAACTCCCAGAAATGGTTTTCTTCGAGGATCTAGTTTCAGGCCAAAACCCCTCCTTTCCACAGAGTGTCGTGCAGGGGGACGCTGACATCCCACTGAGACTGAGAGAACCAGGACTTCAACATTAGTGTTTTGCCCAGATCTGTAGCCTTAAAACCATCACCCACCATACGAAGGGGGTAGAATTATTCCTTGGTCTGGTCAGTCCTGGCCCAGTCAGACATTTCCCGCTGTCTGCAGCTTTGGCATTTTCTCAGCTTTGTCCTGCTCAGGCCCTTCAGGATTCAGTGTCACAAAAGTGTGCTCGTTATCTAGATGCTAGAGACTCTCAGAAAGCTATGGGAGCTGCAGCGCAAGCCAAGCAGCAATGGTACCGCCAGCTGTGAGCTTGTCTGTGTGCTGGGGGTACGCTCATCATTTTCCCCTGTACAATGGGAATTCTGCTGCTGACACTGCTGGAAGTGTGTCCTTGGGGCCACATAGCTAGCGGCAGGTGAATTGGTGCTGAGGACTATTTGGATTTTTAACTACAGTTTAGAGGTGTTTAACCATCATCTCCGGTGCATGGCTGGGCAAGAGCAGTCAGCTCTCAGAGTCTCTGCAGAGGTCTGTAGTTCTCCTGCTGTGTTGTGCCATGTAGGTAATCTGTCCATGTCTTCCCAATTAGCCACCCTCCCACAGCCAGATGATGATGATGATGATGATCCTCCACCCCTGCCCGAGCGAACCCCCGAGTCCTTTATTGTGGCCAGTGAATTTGGTAAGTGCATTTAACAAAGGGGCTGAGAGGTACTCTGAGGGCTCTTCCCATGTTTGTGTGGTATCGTAGCATCCAGCAGTGCCTTTGCTCTGACTCTCCGGGATGAGAAATGGCCTCTCTTGTGTTCAATTGTTTCTAGGACAATTTCCTCTGGCCACTTCTGATTTTCAGCTTGCAGCCAGCAATACAAATACCGGAACCTCTTTGGAGTGGAGTGGCGAGTCTCACTCAGAGGTGTTTAACGACTCAGTGAGACTGAGACCATGTAAGGTAAGTGTAAGTGACTTTTTATCTCTTCTCCAGCACTACCACTATGCCAATTTCCTTATCATGTTTCCTTCTGTGAGAAAGACCCTAGTTTTGGCACTGTGTACTTTCCATAAATTATTTCAGGGTTCAGGACTGGGAGGAAGATGTGGTATCAGTCAGGCTCTTCCATATCAATATCTACTTTACTACAAACATTATTTTTGGGGGTCCTAAATCCCATACAAAGTAGTAAAAATATTGTCCCTATTTTAGAGAAGGATAATGAAAACAGGGAGTTAGTGGTCCACTGAGGTTCACACCGCCCTGTTGGAACAGGCAGGAGCTGAACAAAGTTTAGGCATCTGTTGATCATCCCATAGCTGAAGTAGGGCTTTGCAAAGTGAAACTATAATGCGTAAGTCTATCTTCCATTACATAAGCATGGAGGTGTGTGGGTGTTTGCAAGTAACATCATTTCTTTGTCTTCTCTGGCTTGCCTGTGTGCAAGAGAACGACATTTGGTTGTGGGAATTTCAAATACCTTCCTTGTTTTTTGTTTCCAGAGTGTGAAGCTTCGGAGCCCACAAACAGGTATGTTTAATGCTGGGATAAACTATCTTTGGAAATAAGGTCTGCTTTTTACTGAAGCTGCTTTACCATATTTAGTAAATGTCTTTAGGATCTGTGCTCAGTCCAACGGAAATTTTGTGTTGCTAAATAGTTCTGCAACTAAATAGTTCTAAACAGAACTAGACAGTTCTGCAACCAAATGAACTGGTAGTTTTGTATTTCCTAATTGGCTTCCCGCCTCACCCTGTACATGATGATGTCCCTCGCAGCCTCCTCAGGCTGAGGGTTGTCACATCTTTTGCTGCATGTTGTGTGTTTCCTTTGAGATGATTGAGATATGCCGATTAGAGTGCTGTGGAGCTCTCAGTGAATGGAGAGATATATATGTGTGTGTATATATATATATATTCAAACCTAGGTAACCAACCCTTTTATCTTTGCTTTCTTAGAGACAACCTGGGATCGTTCTAACTCTCCTCCCCCGCTTCCTGAAAGAACCCCGGAGTCATTTGTTCTTGCTGATGCAGCAAGTAAGTGAGGAGTTCTTCTCTCGGCGTGTAACTGAGTTTTTATACTTACACTTAAACCTGTAGATAGCTGAGGAGATTGTGGCCCACTTGTTCAAAGCATTGCCAATGGTAGTGCTTCAGGACTTAACTGCAGGAGAGTTCAGTAGGTATAAAGAAAGTAAACGCAACTAGGGGACCTGCCGGAAATTTCTAGAACTGCTGCATTAGAGGAAATGAAAAGCAACAACAAAGCACTTAGAAAAAAGCAGGATTCATGAATGACCGCTGAAAATGTTCTGATGTGTGTTCCCAGGCCTGCAGCCTGCTGTAAGAAATTCTATGACGAGTCCTCCAGGCTCGGAGAACAATGCTTCCAAAACATCATCAAAAGAGCCTGTGAAATGCTTCAGGAGAAGCAAGGTAAAAGAAACAAGACAAAACAAAAGCTGTTGAAAATGGAGGGGGTGACAAGAAGAGATCGTTCTAGCTACAGCTATTGCTACTTTCTCACTGCTAACCTTGTGAAAACCGCCTGCTTTGAGACCACTCATGTTTAGGGGAAGGAAACAAGGCTAATAAAACCGTTCTGTTGTAGAACTGCAAACAAAACCACTGTCTGCCCTAGGAAGAGAGTAACACAGCCATACCCATGTGAATGGCTATGCCTTGGCACTCCACCTGAAGTGCCAGGTCCTCTTGGAAAAAGTTGCTCAAGTGGAGTCTGAATTCCCGTGTAGGACAGACTCTGCTCATCACCAGTCTCCTCTTGTTGTGGCCCTAGTTAATTATCCTCGTGAGCCAATTGTCCTTTGGGATGTTAGGGTTGAGCAGAAAAGCATTTGAGGAAAACAGCAAGAATAATACAAACTGGAGGCATTTGGGCTGGCTCGAAAAAAGCCAGAGACCAAGTGAATGGCAGAAGTCTGCATTTCAGTCTCAGATGCTAGGCACGATACTTTTTATGAGATGTGATACATGTATATTTATCAGTGAATTCCCTTTATCATAGAAGCTGATCTACTGCTTGCTACATTTTTTTCCAACAAGCCTTCTTTTTTTTTTCTCCTACAGAGCTTGAAAATATTGAAAAATGTGAGAAAAAGTAAGTCTTTCAGGCTAATGTGCATCTTGCTGATGGCTTTAAGCAAGTATATAAAGAAATATGTGGGACTGAATTTTCGAGAACCTTGTCAAATGTGAAACGCCCTGCACGTCTGGCTACTTTGGAGTAGGACATAGAGAGTTGCGCTGGCTAGCTGAGTACCATCTCATCTGGAGAGCAATAGTTGTTTTAGTCATAAGGATGCTGTGGTGCCCTTGCAATGCCCTTTGGGTACCATGGGGACAGCTCTAGTGTACCCAAATCACCAAATTCTTCAGGTCACTCAAACCAGTGTTGTGGGATGAATACTTTAAAAATGGGGGATAGGGGTGCTGTGGGGAATGTGAGCCCCATCCTGGATTCTGCCCAGTCTATTTGGAGCACAAATAAGGAGTTTGTCATTAAGTTCCCTTTGATCTAAAATTAAAACGCTTATCTTGAAAATAGGACTGCTAAAAACTGTTTAAAGCCCTTCTGAGCAAACATTTTCTGAGTGGATTGTGCAGCAATAGTACACTCGCTCCCTGCTATGAGCAAATAATGTCGTTAAAACTGCGTGGCATTCAAGCTCTGCTAGTGTGCAAAGTACTTAACTTTGTCTTGTGCTGAAATAGCATCCGTGCCTAGAGTTATCGTGCATGTAGCAGTACGCGTTTTCCCGTAGGTGTGTCCGAGTCCAGCTCTTCAGGGAATTACCATAGTGACTAACTGCTTGGTCTCATTTTTTATTTCTAGGCATCTGTAGTCCATCTTCACTGACAAAACCATCAGAATCTGCCCCGTCAAACCATTCGAGGTCTTTCCTTAACTTTGGTATGTTTTTCTCTTTGTGTTTTGGTGTAGGAAGCACCTGTTTTTTTAAAGTCTAAATGCGGGTACCAGGCTGAATGCTAACAAATTACAAACATTACAAATAATGCTTATTATTTTTTACACATTTACAACTTTATCCACGAACTGTTTAAAGAACAGGTAAGGATGGAAAACACAAACCCTAAAACCTACTCTGACAAATGTTTCTCGGTGTGTGAAGAGTCTGAAGCGTGTATTTGGCTTTCCTGTATCTGAAAGCCTTTATGTGGCAACAGAGACAGCGGAAGACAAAGCTGCAGCATTGCCACTAGGCTGCTGCCTTATGTTGTGTAATATGGCAGAGGAGAAATACCATGTTTTCCATTTTAAATTCTTCTACTAGAGAGTAGTCGTTTATTAGATTAGGCATAAAATCTAGTTATCTTGATATTCATGCTATAATGACAGTATTTGTCAGATAGACACACTGATAGACTGTTTTTGCACCAGCTGACTTACAACTACAGGATGTTCTACTATACCATAAAGTTCAGGAAAGAACTGAAATTACAAGTATTTTCAAATACTGTATTATCTTAAGGAATTACATCATCAACATCTATAACATACAGACTTTGTTGCATTAAAAAAAGTAATCTTTTCCTAGGCTTTGCAAATCGATTTTCAAAACCTAAAGGACCAAGAAATCCACCACCAGCATGGAATATTTAGGTATGTTTTATAGATTTGGCATTACAGATTTCTGAAGTCCTTCTGATATGCCTTGAGTGCTCATCCCAGTAAGGTTTCCATCAAAATAAACACATCAAAAGCTGTTGCATGATATTTGCAGCTCAGGCGCTACTTGCACATTCTTCATCAACTAGTTTTAAAGTAAAGAATAATATAGAAGTACCAGCAGCTAAGCACTTTTAGTTGATTTACAACAGGATGGAAACTAAAAACAGGAATAGGTATTTTATTCTAAGGAGGGACACATTTTTGTATTCGCTTCCAAAGGATGGATTTGAGCTTTCTGAAACAAAGCAGTGTAAACTGGTGATAGGATCCAGCGAAGACTATTGAATGATACGGAAGGCCAACAGACTGGACCAAAGCAGAACAAGACTCTGGATCGTACAGACACAGCATCTGTGTAACTTCACTCACGTGTAGGTCTAACGTAATCAAAGACCCGCACTTTCTTAAATGTTTACATTACTTGGACTAAAAGAGAATTAGCATCTCAGATTTTAGAAATAATTTTTCTCTAAGGTTTTTTTCATCTGAGCAAATCAGATAATTTGTCTAGGTTTTTGGTCAATAAGACTAAGATGCTGATCGATCATACAGCAACTAGTGTAACAGACTGCAGAATTAGCTGACCCAACTGCCCTCGCTATCTGAAAAAAAAACCCAAAACAAAAGACCACCACAGCACGCAAAATATCTTGTATTTTTAAAGCAATGCTGTTTTTAAGGGTTTGTGACTCTCCAGCACAAAATTTCAGATGGCTATCTCGGAAGATATTTGAAATTTCTAGAGAGATTCCTCACCAGACTCCACTGCTATTTATATCCTCAGTGGGGAGGGGTAAAGATGTTGAAAACCGCTTTCTATGATTATTTTCCTGTGGACAGAGAAAACCAAAGTGGGATTTGGGGAATTTGGTCGAGAGAGGAATGTACTGACCACTACTAGAATAGAGAACTGAAGCTGGTTTAAAGCTGCGTTTGCCAGAGCAATGGCTAATGCAGCCCAGGAGGAGCCTGCCGTACTTTTCACCGAAGTCACCTGTTTTCTCAACAGCAGAAACCAACAAAAGACCTCACCTCACTTATATTCCTGTGGCGAATATTTCGGTGTTGTACCAAACCCACCACCGTCAGCTGGTGAAGCGGCCTGGACGTTAAGCGAGCCCGCGGCTGGGGGAGCACCGCGACGCCTTCGCGCGGCGGGGCTGAGCCCATCCCCGCACTGCGGGCCGCCGGCCGCCGTGTCACACCGCCCA